CTATTCGAATTAATGAAATACGGTAACTGGGACTGAAAAAGCAGGAAAAAGAAAAAAGGAAAATAAAAATAAAAACTCCTTGGGGGCTTTGTTTATCATGAACTTTGAGAGAGACATTTTTCCTTTCATCAAAGTCCCATTGAGTGTCCTGACTCTCCTGCTTCTGAGAAGGCAGGAATTGATAGCAGAAGCAGCATGCACAGTTTTAGACAAATTTTTAGAAGCTGGTAATGCTGTAGGGAAAAGGCACAGTACAGTGAAGAAAATGTAGCAAAGAACTGGCCTCTCTAGCTTCCATGTGCTAGTTCCAGGTGCTAGTGAGGTCCTACTTGATAAAATATCAGTTTGTATATAAAATTGCATAGTAACTCTACAGAAAATAATGATAAAAATCATGAGTTTGAAACTGTAGCTGTAGTGGAGATAGATATTTCATGCCTTCTGAGAGAGCCTCCCTGTCACCTCCTAGCATCTGACTTTGGGGAAATTGTCTTGCAAATTAATTTTTGGGAGAGGAATGGCTAAGTGCCTGCCTTACATTTCACTCCTGAAGCTTGGTATTTGCTTGCAGGTAGCTTCCTCACCTCCCAGACTGACAGCACCCTCACTACTGATACACTGGGTCAGCCCATGGCTACACCTCATGCTATAGCAGGATGGGGTCAAACACGCACCAAAATTGACTCTTTGTGCCTGTCCATAGGTTATATCTGGCAGGCAGCCCAGGAACATGGACCAAAAGGAACTGCAGCATGTTCCAACTTAGCCCTCAGTTAGGACACTGATGAAACTGGCCCCAAAGTCTGTTGTGACTCCAAGAAAACCTTTCCCAGAGATCTATGTTGCTTCTACATCTCTTCTATACAATACATCCATATTAGCACTTCAATTTGGATCAGGAGAGTGCTGTCCAGCTTTCCTCCTGACCACCCCTCCTTACCATGCTTTGCTTCACCTGCTGAAACAGTCTTGGCATCTATCAACTGGACTCCATCCAGACAAAGCTACACAAAAAAATCTGGTGTATGAGTGCACTTACTGCACTACAGCTGCTAACATGAGGCCAGTCAATGTGAGCAGATTAGAGCTGGTCTAAAATAAATCTCTGAAGTACACAGAGCGCACACACTGGTCCCCTGTGCCAGCTCCTCTCTGCCACAGATCATCCCTACTTGTTCCAGGCCACCTGCTAATGTAGACTCAATCTAAAGAGGCTGCACTGCTGCTTTTTGACCCTCTCACTGTTTAAATGGGTGAATAGTGCCATTTTAGGCACCATATGGTATCCCTGCAGGCCTCCAGCTGCCACTCTGCAGATCAACAGCTCAACCAAATGTCTCGTGTCATATCTGGCAGCCCCACGCAGACATCTCAGATACCTCAGGGAGACTAACTGCTGTGGATGTCTATGTTTAGACAACTGAATACCATTTTATTTTAGCATCTATTCCCCTCTAGACCAAAAAAAATGAAGCAAATGAGATTAAAAATGAGAATGCAGATGCTTGAAATACTATGGTGTGTTTTATGGAATAAAATACACAATATAGAATAAATAAAATAATAAAAATAGAATTTCTTGAAAAATTCATTAAAACTCTATTTTTAATAATCTAAAAAGTAAAAAAATCTTAATATGACAACAAAAGAAGTATTGTAGAAGTATTGTTTTGTTCTTCAAGAAACAGCTGAATTTTACAAATTGTACTTGTTGTTCAGTAAGGGCCGAATTCACTGAATTGAACAGAATAATTGCAAAGCTTGAGATTCAGTTTCTGTTTGTGTTATTTACTGGCCTAATTCCCCAGATTTGAGGACTGTAGCATCAGAGTCTTTGCAGGACCAGTAAAGCTAGCAAATCAATAAATTATTAAACGACTAATAGTAATAGTAATAAATGTAATAATAGTAATAAATGAAACAGGCTTTGGCATGTTTCCTGTCCTGAGGGTGACTGACAGAGAGAAGCCCTTCTCTGTTACTAGCAAACTCCTGGTGTCCAGCATGGGCTGGCTGCAGGTAAGCAGGGATGCTCTCTGGGCTGACCACAGCCAGGACTGCCTGGCAGAGGCTGGTGGCCATGGGCCAGCGCTGTGTCATGGCTGAACCTCCCTCACACAGGATGTCTTACACAGCGAGCACCCTCCAAAGCTGCAGAAAAACATTCACATGCCCAGGAACCGACTTCTGAATCTGCATGGAAATACTTGGGAGATTACCGGTCTTTCAAACACTTAAACATTAAAATCCTGACCTCTTGTGGCCATCAAACTGTCCAGCAAAAGCTTCTGTCAGTTTCTAACCCAGGTGATGCTCTTGCTGGGTGCAGGATGGCCATTTGTATATTCCTGCTCCCAGACCTGCCTGTGTGCCTGGAGTCATTGACAAACCTCACATTTGAACATCTCTGTGGGTCCAGAGGAGGCCACAAATGAGATCAGAGGGCTGGAGCACCTCTCCTACAAAGGCAGGCTGAGAGAGCTGGGGCTGTTCAGCCTGGAGAAGGGAATGCTTTGGGGAGACCTTAAAACAGCCTCCAGTACCTAAAAGTGTAGGGGGATAGAATATAAGTAAATAAAGGTAGTATAGAAAGTAATCTTACCCCCTAAAGAGTTGCAGCTGAGCCAATTATTAAGGATTAGGAGCAGGCCTGATGTTAACAGGCCACACCTGTAGCCAATTAGAAGAGTGTTATAAAAGAGTGGATTGGTTGGTTAAGGGGAACTGGAGTCAGTGGCTGCTGTGAGGACAAGGCAGAGTCAGTGCCTGGAGGAGCTGCCTACAAGAAGCATCAAGGAGGCACGAAACTCTATCAATATGGAACCCTTGCAATGTAATGACAATAGAACCTTTGTAATATAATGACAACATAAAAGGGTCTTATAAACAAGAGCGAGAGTGACTTTTCACATGGGCAGATAGTGACAGGATGAGGCAAAGTAGTTTTAACCTAAAAGAGGGGAGATTTAGATTAGATAATTGGAATAAATTCTTTACTGTGAGACTGTTGAGGTACTGAAAAAGGTTGTCCAGAGAAGTTGAGGATGCCTTATTCCTGGATGTGTTCAAGTCCAAATTTAATGGGCCCCTGAGAAACCTGATCTCATGGGTGATATCCCAGCCCACAGCAGGGGGTTTGGAAATAGATGACCCTTAAGCTCCCTTCTGACCTAAGCCATTTTTTTTTTTGATTCAGTGATTTGTCCTAAATGTAAATAAAGTGCAATCTTTTTAGACACTGTGGACAGAAATCTGGCAGAAATGCCACAGAAATGAGAAGCGTGGGGGTGAGTCTGCACATTAACATCCTGCAGGTGGCACAGAGCTACTTGCAGACCTTTAATTCTAACAAAGATTTGAGAAAGGGAATGTTTGTCTGCCTTGCTTTGCTGTTCTCTGGGTCTGCATCAGTAGCTTTGGGTTATAGAAAAATTTAGACTAAGAATATATTCTGCATGTATGTAATTGATAACATATGATGTAAATTTTTGCAGATATATTTGAAGTGGTGCAATTAATATATCAACCTATGCTTCTAGGAACCCAGCATCAAAACCCAGAAAGTCTGGCTTCATGTGCAAGTCTGCTCAAGGACAAAGGGCAAGTGGAATTTCTCAGGATGAGTGATCTTTTACCTGCACAAGCTAAGGCTACACAATATTTAGGACAGGCACATATTTGCACCCTGATCATTCATATGCAGTAGTGTCTTCTATATAAGAATTTGCTCTGTCTAGGACTGACTACCTGAATCCTTTATAATTTCTAAAATAATTGGAGCATCCACAAGTATGCCTTTTCAGTCTGCCTGTATGGCAAATCCAAAGGCTGCTGAAATACAAATAATACACAAAACAAAACAGCATCCATTTATAGAATTTATAAATTTATAGAATGTATAAATTATATAATATATTAATAACATACTCAAAACCATTAAACAGTGCATGAATAAAATGTATTTTTAGAACTTTTTTCTTTCTATCACCTTGTATATACAGACTAGACATTGGAACTACAGTACTGAGTATATTATTATTTAGAAGATAGATTCATTGATAATTGCACTTGCTTAAAACAGGAAAGTAAGTAAAGTGTTTTAAATCAAATTTACATTTTAAGATTTTTTTTCTGGAACTGCAGCTTTATTTCTGACCTCACAAAGGCTTATCCATATGTTTAGATACACACTTAGGAGTAACAATAGTTAAACTAATGTACATAAAAATAAGCTTTTGCAGACCTGAAGTCTTGATGTACCCTGCGTTCACATTCAACCTGTTCAAACACCCACACAAGAAAGATGAACTGAAAAGGTGCAATCATTCCCATTGCTCAGAATCTCTGGGGTTTTTCATTTCACATTCTCTCAAAAGAATATTAGTACTCATTAACAAATATTAATAGAATAAAGAAAAATTTTGTAAAAACTATTTTGGTGATCATTTATAAGTTTTTAGTTTCGGGTTCTCCTCAGGTCTCTGTTTCTCATTTGCTGGCATTGTCTGGGTTCCCTCTGAAAATAACTGATATTTCATGTGAATATATAAACAGACTTGGACTTTATTACTTAGAGCCCTTGGTGTTTACTGGCACTCATTTACAACATGTTTTTTTGCCAGGATGCCCATCATAGCAACAGCTGCACATCCTCTATCCCAAAAAAAAACCCCTCAACACTGGATTTTCTGTTCCTAAATGTTATAATCATTTTATAGTTGTAGTGCTTATGATATTTCAGCCTCTTCTTGGGCATCTAATGCTCCTGATGCAGTGCAGCAAATTTTGGTACACAATGAATTGGGGAATAGGTTCTCCTGGTGAAGAAGATGCAACATGATAGGATCTCAAAATGTCCTGGTGTCAGAGAGCACTCTGAGGCACTTCATGCATGACTGCAGTATGCTTGTTTCTTTACAAAGAATGCTGAATGATGTGAGTAGCATTTTGCCTTATACAGAAAAGTAGAGTAGCAACCAAAAACAGATAACCTGCACAGATTACTGTTGACAGAATAAAACTGTATTCAGTATTTCTGTGAGACAAAACAAATCACCGTATATTTTCAGATACCAAAACAGTGGGGCAATAAAAAGTATCTTTTAAGTGCTACTACACAAAAGTTGCTTTCAAAAAGCACAGTGTTTCTTAATTAGTTGTAGAACAGTCTTGAGAACCTCTTCTTTGGAGGGGCTGGCATCAACCTCTTGGCATGCAGGATTCGCCATCCTTCTGTATGACTCTTCAACTCTAAAAACAAAACAAGAGAAATTAAACTTCAAAATGCAGGGATATGAAATGAAATTAGTCATCAGTCTCAGAAGACAGTGCTCGCACTGCAGAGACCAAGGATAGAAAATCTAATATGAAGCTAAGAATGAAATCTCCAGCAAAGAGCAATAAACCATTAGGAACTATTACAATGTAAATCTCAAACCACATAATTTCCTTGACATTGATCCCCAGAGCTCCAGCCCTATTAACAAGACATGGCATAAAGTATCTCTTTCTTTACAGCTTGTCACTGGATACAGTTTGGTATAGCAGTAGAGTGGACAGTTTGCTTCTAGCACCTGAATTAATTTTTTTCATTTTCTGCTAAGGTAGCTCTGAACTATATGGCATTGCATTGTGCAGTTGTGCTCATTGACTGATCTCAGCTTTGACTCACTAGATTACAGAGTTGACATGTCATTCAACCCCTTCCTCTGATCAGCTAACCAGATGAATAACAGGATAAAATACAGGATGAAAACCTCCTCATTTAGGCTATAAGCATAATGCAGAACCCTCCCACATTGTATTTTTAAGGGTGTGAATGGGGATGTGATTATTGTCTATGTTCCCATAATGCCATTCAGGACAGAAGTCACAAGACAAATCAAGGAAGATTCTGGATGTTCTCATATTCAGATTGACATAATAAACAGGTAGAAATAACTAAAAGCTTTCTGACATGAATATGCAGTAACAGGATTAAAAGATGCTTAAATGCCAGTATGTTCCCTAGCTAACTCATCCCTCTGCAGGTCCCACTACATGAGCTGTGTGTCCACACAGAGTTTCTGGGAAAATTAAGCAATCACAGAATCATGGAATGTTAAGGGGCTGGGATGGGCCTCCAGCCTCTTATTCCCCATTAAAGGAATTACCTTTGGCGAAACAAGCTGTTAGATTCCAACTCAGCTTCCTCCTTTGTTTTCTCCAGCCCCCGATGCTGAAGTCTCCGGACTCGTTCTTCAGGGTCAACAGTCAGGAGAAGAACAAGATCAGGTTTAAGCAGATCTTCAGGCCACTGATACACCTCATCTTGAGCTGGTGGAAGATTGTGGATTTCTCCACTTGTTTCAGTGGCAATTGCATAGGCAGCTGTGCTGTGCCAGTATCTGTCAGGAAAATACAAAATGGAGGGAGAGAAATTTTAAAGAAAACATTAATTCTTCAGTAATATAGGAGACAGTTGGCATTATAACAAGTCAATAATGATGAGATAGGTGACACCATGGCTTTGAAGGGAAATACAAATAACAGTTCTGTGCTATCCGTTATTTCTTAACAATGGTAATAGTGCACTATTCAGAGTTAATGTGAACTATTAATTAAAACATTATGTAGAGACTGTTTCAGATTCTCCTATGAAAAGAAAGTCTCCTCATATATTGAGACAGGTCAAAGAAGATTTATAATATATCTCAAATTCCTTTACTCTGAGTCCCCTTTTTTGTGGTTCCCATCCTACTTAATGCAATAGACTTGGGAGAGAGCATGCAGTCTTCACAAACATGTGAATGAACACAGGCATTACTAATGCTACTAATTTCACTTGTATTTAATATTCTCCTTACTATAAGACACTGTGTTTGATGGATTTCAGTGGATTTGGGGCTGGTTGAAAACAGCACTCACATGCAAATAATGTATGTGTGCGTGTGTGTTTTGTAGCAGGAGGTTACAGTACACCTACTGAAATAAGCTAAAGGGTTCAAAGTACATCTAGACTTTTTATGAACAGTAATATTGTAAGCTGCCTACGCAGTTAGTGAAAACCAGAAATAACACAAACAAACCCAAAAAAAGTAGGAAGCATATATCTGTGTTTGAATTCACAAAGAGTAAGTCTACCTAACACTCAGTCATTCCAAACCACCCATATCTGAGACACATCTTAGAGACAGCCATGATCAGCAGCCCACAGTCTCCTCTGGTTTGCGCAAAACCCTGGTTTAGCTCAGGATGCACAATCTGTGCCTTCACTATTCCTAACTGAAGATGTAACAATTTTCATGTGTCCTAAAGCTAGTTATGAGTATTACACTGATTGAAGTTCCCTATTTTACTGTTTTCACAAGTGTTACTCTTTAAAAGATATAATATTTATCTGACTCCCTGCAGAGTGCTTCCAAAAAAACCCTAAACAAACTACGAAAAAACCCAAAACACAACCCCTGAAGAAACACAGAGACAATCACTGACTGCTTGCAACACTGAACAACTAACTGTATGATGGCACTGATATAAGAAGGCTTCTTAAATACACAAACCTGTCTATGATCACAGGTGCCTGAGTGGATGCTTTCGCTATCTCTGAAGCCAGAATGTAGTTGCCTGCAGCATAATATGCTCTTTTAATGGGTGTTTGCTCATCATCAAATACAGTCCTCCACTGGCTGATGCAGGCTGGTGGGGACCGCAGCAGGATGCCGTTCAGGTTGTCCTTAACAGCCTGGGTCACTGTGGTTTTGCCTGCATTTCATTTACAGAAGGAAACATTAATTATATTATTTAAAAGATACACTTGAGTTTTAAAAACTGAAAAACGCTCCTGTCTGTTCATGTAGAGTACAGGTTCTGACATCTGAATATGTAACCTGAGCATCTTGTCATAAGGTTTCCAGTGGAAAATGATTCTGAGTCTGGTTGCAGGAATTATTACTCCTCTTCCTGTTCTCTGGGCCTTCCAGCCCTTCCTTTAGCCAGCTTTCAGTTTTCACTTCCTTAAATGCATTAGGTGCATGGCAATTTCTCTATATATTCATGGCAATTTCCCTATCTATTAATTTATAATATTTTTCTGGGTGGAAATTTATGTGAATGTTGCCATGCTGGTCATCCAGTTCCTTCTTTTTAGGAGGATTTTCAGTTCTCTTTAACTGACAAGTCAGAAAACAAAGTTAGTCAGAAGCAAGTAATATTTCTCTCTTAGACAAACTGCTGGCAGTTACCTAGACTACCACTAGTTTAGTTCATTTATTTGAAAACTCTCCAGTAAAAGTGTTTCATCATCTGCACAAGAAATTTAATTTTCAGTACTCCACTTTGTATTCTTTCATTTCCATAGGTAAGGAATTAAACCACTGGATGTAAATTAGCATACACTAATCTTTTACAAGTAAGAGAAGACAGATTGGCATTTGTAATTATTAATTCCATATCTGTCACGGGTTTTTGAGATTTTTTAAATTTTATTTTAAAGCCTGATGTTTAATAAAAAACATAGCAGTTGCTCCTTTCAACAATTTCTCATCTGTGGTTCTTCAACCAAACGTTGCTCTTACCTGTGGCATCCAGCCCCTCAAAAACTATGACGGGAAAAGATCCCTTTTTTTGGTGCTCTGGGCATTTCTCCATCAGGTCGAGTACTGCTTCAGCCTCTGGGATCCGTTCTGCACACTGCAAGGAGAGAGCACAGCATGTGTTGGGTCAGAAGGGACCTGTAAAGACCATCTAGTCCAACCCCCATGCAGTGCACTGGGCCATCCTAAACTAGATCAGGTCTCTTAGAGCCCTGTCCAACCTCACCTGGAATGTTTCAAGAGATGGAACATCCATCACCCCTCCGGGCAACCTATTCCAGTGTTTCACCACCCTCATCGTAAAAAACGTCTTCCTTACATCTGGTCAGAACCTGCCCTCCCTCTGTTTAAAACGATTGCCCCCCGTTGCCCCGGCACCCTCCCGCCCCACTGCTCTGGAGAGCCGAACTCGGGCTCCGCGCCCGTGGTGCTGACCTGGCGCAGGCGCTGGCGGAGGGCGCTGGCGGAGGGCGGCAGGGCGCGGGCCGCGGACCGGGGGCCCGGTGAGCCCGGGGCACAGCGCCCCAGCATCGCCGGCAGCTGAGAGCCGGGGGCTGAGAGCCGGGGGCTGAGAGCCGGGGGCTGAGAGCGGCGATCCGGACCAGCGGCACAGCGAAGGGGACGGGCGGAGGCGGAGGAGGAGCCAGCGGGAAACGAAACTGGCCCGGCCGGCCGGGAAAGCGCCGATCTGCGGGAAGCAGCTCCTCGGAGCAAGGGGCAGCTCCTCGGAACGCCCTTCTGCCTTCCCCGCCCCGCGTCGCTAGCGCCGGGTTCAACGGGCTCGGTCCCGCGGGGAATGGGTCTGTGCGCGGACGGGCGCCAGCAATCACGGGATGTAAGGTCCCAGCCTCGGGATCCGGCCCGCCAGCAGCAAAGGATCACATTCCCACGGGCTGAATCCTGGCGATCTTCTAAAAAAAAAAAAATTAAAAAATATTAGAAGTGCAGATATATTCCGCTGCTTACGACTGGCCCAAAATGAAAAGTTCTAACCCAAACCGAACTAGTTTATTGAGTTGCAGTGCCGAAGCAGCCCTGGGCTGTCAGGTATATCAGTAACTTGACCCCATTATTTGGTAATTCAGTGCCTTGATATCAAGACCAACAGACACAAATAATTTTGGGGGTAAACTGGACTTTTAGAAGCCTGTTGTCATTTCCCAAGCAATTTTGCAATGGCTAATTTCAGCTTTCATCAGCTCAGATGTAGGAACCAGAAACACTGCAAATAGCAGTAGCACAGACTTAGTCTTGTGACAGCTGCTATGAGTAACACTGCCTAAAACGTAGTTTTTGAGTTTTCAGAAGATGTAACTTAAAATGTTGCAGAACCTGCATCTCTTTAGAAAACTTCTCTTTTACAATAGTTGGAGAACTGCCACTTAGAGATATCTAAAGTTAAACTTCTGATGTGTTTTTTTAACTAATAGACTGTGCAAGAAAATCCTTGGAAACCTGTCTTCCTCTGGTCATCTCAAACGCCTGCACAAGTACCTTTTACTTAGTGTAACTGCAGGGAGAGGGGAGCAGCTGGTTGGCAGTACCAGTTGCAGATCATCTGTACTAGTTGGAAACTGCTCATCCCAAAGAAGCTGATGGAAGTCTGGGCCAGAGCCACAGCTGGGAACATAGCCTTGGAAGCCCTTCAATACAGTCCCAGCATCATGTACCAAAATTCATTTGGTTCTTTTTAAGGCTGTTTCATACCTGAGAACTCCAGCACCATTCCACATCACTCAAACACATGGCTATGGCATCTGGGTGTGGATACCAGAAGACACAGGGTAAAACATAGTTCATTATACAGGAAGCCAATAGATAGTTTTAAGACCATAATAATACACACTGATTAAGAGTAGGGGCTCTTGTCAGCCAATATTTTGTCTGGCAGAATGACATGCTGTCCATGCCTGGCTTATTCATGTCCCTTCTCCTAGTCCTTGTGCTCTTCCAACCTCCACGGTCACTGAATCAGGAATGTTAAACAGTATATCCTCATCTTTCAGCACCTGTTGTGGACCCTTGCTCGTGGAGTTGGCTAAATGTGATACAATCTACCTCCACAAACCCCTGTGGTCTCCAATCCCAGCAATCCTACTGTTGCATAAAAATTTTGTAAGTTTTTAGCACACATCTTTATTTCAACGAGTGCCCCTTCTAATAATGTTACTGGTTCAACATTCAGTTTATTTATTACATACAGGATTTTTAAAAGATCACTAAGATTTCCCCTTCAGCTTTTTCATGTCAGAAATGACAGCCTCTATCCCTTTGTAAGGCAGCTGCTTCATCCCCTTGATCAGTTAGAAACAAGGATAAGTTTAACTGTAAGGTCCTGCTAAGATGTGGAGACCTGAACTGGACCAGTAGTCAGTTACTTTGGTTACACTTACCAAAGTTTCACAGACCAGGAGAGTAATGCAATCTACCTTGTTTCTGGGTGACACTAAGCTTTAAGCTGACTTTTTTTCTCTGCTTCCTCCCACAGAGCCATTGATTTCAGAGGAGAAGCCACAGTGACTAAGATGTCCTTCCTGAGCACAAGTGCCACTGCTGAGCTCAGCATCAGGTACACAAGGTTTCAATGACTCTTTTGGATCTGCACTGCCTCACCTTTATCTATACTGAAACTTACCTGCCACTTTTCTGTTCATTTGTTTGCTTGAGGTGCAACTTGACTTGCAGCCAAGTTTCATTTCAAAAGTGCTTGTAAAGCTGGCCATTTCCCTCATTGACCTCTCAGCTTTTTTTTTTTTTTTTTTGTTGTTGTTGGCCTATTATGTTTGTTTTATCTCCAATGCTACTGTTGCCTTTCCCCTCTCTGCTGAACAAATGGAAAGCGCTTACTTTCATTTTCTCTTTTTCCTTTTCCCATCTCACTGCCTTGATATAACCTAATTACAAGCTGGTGGTGACTCCTTCATTTATAAAATGCTTATGAGATCATTCATAATAGGCATGTGATGCCTGTTCTCCTGCCTATTTACTTTAAAGTAGCCTCTTTCAGGATTCAAGTAAAAATATAGGAAAAGAGAGTTGTCTTTTTATGCCCAAGATGTTTTGTTGTATTTAAAATCAGTGGAGACAGTATGACTTTTTCAGCCTCTCTACAAGGACCTTCATAATTTTGTCCTCTGTATAATGTGAAGCAATGTTGAAGAACAAATATGCTAATTATGTACAAAACACTGCTCAGGAGCATTTTTACATCTTTGAGTGTCCACTGTGCTTACATAGAGCTATGGGGATGAGATACAGTGACAAGAGGCCATTTGAATATTCAAAAAATTTTGATCCACACAAAATGGAAAAGGAGAAAAAAAAATCAAAACCAAAGCATGGAAATTGATTAGCCTGTAACTTAAGAATATATCTAAGTGTACAGTCCTGGAAACAGCTGTCTGATACATAGGCAGGAAAAACTTAAGTCAAAGGCACATAAAATGGGTAGGTACATGGAATACACACAAATAAAACTGCTCTTTTAATGCAAAATAAACTTTAAAAAATATCAATAAATGGCTCTCCAGTAAAGAAAAAGATCTGGGAATAAGACCATAAGAACACAGAAGGCAGTACAGTGTCAGGCCAAGAGAGATTCCTCTTCTGCCCATGACAGTGGCCACTGCCAGATATTTGGGGGAGGTTATGGAAAGGACACAGAAAAATCCTTCTCTCAACATACTTTTGTCAAGAAAGGATCTGTTGATCCTTGAGGTCCCTCCCAACCTGGTATTCTATCATTCTAAAAGTCTATGATCTTTTCCTAGATCATAGAAATCATCTTTTTAATACTTCCTGAATGGGAAATCACATCTACACTATTAAGGGTCCATGGTGGACTTCTTTCAAATGTGCCTAATCTGTATCTATAGTCATACTGTGTGTTTCATATGTCTTTCATAACTTAATTGCATGTGGGTTTGAGCTTTCTGTTTGGTAATTTCCCCTTGGATTTTTTCGTCCCAAGGAGAGCTGAGTCACTCTAAGTCCAAGGTCCTTGACAGATTTGCATTTATAGTGCTGCAGATGCAATGAGAAAGAGATAGTTTCTAGACTAGAGCAAGAAGTAATACATTTACCAAACACTAAAATTGCATCTGCCATTGCATGATTTGCATGAGTTGTCTGGTTGTCCTTGGATGGTTTCTGGTCCTCCCAGGTGATGTGATATGACTCCTCTTTTAACCTTTTTTATGTTTGTATCAGTAGTTTGGTTTGCCTAGCAAAATACTGTTTGACTGGAACTGCCAAATGGCCACTCTGGAGAAAGCAATAAATTTATTTCAAATATAAAATTACATTAATTCAATAAATATTATATAGATTTTATATAGAATATTATATAGGCACAAGAGCATTATCTATGTTTATCCCTTTGGATTCTTCCATGCTAGTTGTGTACTTATTTATTATCTAGTGCACTATTAATAACATTATTCAATAATTTTTGAAAAAATATATTAATCTTTAAAGGGTATTTAGATACAGATTTGGAATACAGAAACATTTTTATTACTGTGACTCCATCGTGCCACTGTAAGATGGCTTCTGTAGAAAGCTAGAGGAAAGAATCATACTTCCTACAAATTTCAGAGAATATTTATTCTTGCTTTTCTGAGGTTCTTCCTGAAGCCATCAGGACAGAAAATTTCAGTAGAGTTCTAGCTTAAAATATTTCTTGTAGATTCAAAGCTTGTGCATAAAAATGCACATCTGTGTTTTCTTGAAGGCCTTACCATAGAGCCTGTGAGCTAAGAAAGTTTGGGATGTAAAATGTGAGTGTCCTTGATGCTGCTGGGTCTTGTATATAGGAAGGGGCCACCTCCTGGTCTGAGTTTACTTTGAGAGGCTTTACAGTAAAGCAGAGAGTGTAATCTGAAAACATACTTAGTTGAGGCAAAAAGTAAAAGGAACTATAATTTCCATTTTTCTAAGAAAGCACTGATAGGATTGCAAAGAAGAAGCCTTGAGTACGCTTGGTTGCAAAGTTCTCTGCATGTTTTGTTCCTTGAAATGGATATCTGTGTTTTCAAAGAAAAACAGTCCAAAAATGCTAATGTTTTCATTTTCTGATTTATTGAGCAATCTTTTTCTGACATGTTTTTGGAATGTTTGGATATCAGATGTAATTCTTGTGTCGAGAGAAATTGGTAATCATCAAGGGTTCTTTACCAACTGTGGAAATTAAGTATTTTGAACCTAATTTTTCTGGCCAGCTGAGGTACTAGGCAACAAGCTCAGGGCTAGTCATGAGCCTTCCATCTCAAAGAAGAGAGAAAGACTGTAGTTCCTACACCTGCATTGGCTTAACTTGACGTGAACAAGGGATATGAATGAGGACAGAAGGGAATTTGAATTGGGGCCAGAGAAAGTAACACATGAAATAGGATTCCTACCATGCAACAGAAGGGATGTATGGAGTGAGGAAGAAAGAGGGCATATCAGAATTCTCCAAATTAATTGAAACATTGAAGCTACCAATTAGCAACTCCAATATCAGATTTCAGTTTAAATTTGCATTGTCTTGTCCACCTCCCTTCCCAATCATATTTTCAAGTTTGTGATCAACAAACTCTTTATTTATTAGAATATACTGCTTTTATCCTTAATCTTGTATCTTACATAAAGCTCAAGGAACTGGAAGAGCACATAGTTAACTCCTGCTGGAATAATCTCTGCTGACAGCCTCTCAGACCATTTTGGAAAGCCTCAGAAGTGACATGTTTCACATTATGGTGCAGCATGTGAGAGGGCATTACTGGAGCCAGACACAGCAAGAAGTTTCTCATCCTGCCCTAGTAGTATGAACCTGTGCCAGCAAGAAACAGCTGATAGAAACAATAATAAAAACCCTTCAAACAATAAAAACTGCTCAGAATGGTTTTTGCTGATCCAGACATTATTCAGTAGATCACCTCCAGGAAAGTGAAGGAAAGATGACGGGAATTGGACAATAGGCAATGACAAGCCCAATTAACATTTCTTATTCACAAGCAGGTTTTGTTTCCCATGAAAATTGCACAGGATGAAGATAGTTCTACCCCTTTTTTCGAAGGGGGAAAAAAGGGAAATAAAAAGAAGGGAAGATGAGGGCAAGACTGCTTGGCTACACCAGCAGTTCTGGCTGGGCTGGTCAATGGAAGTGAGGGAAGCTCCATTTTAGGCCCTTGACAACATGCAGGTGGAAGGTATGATTTGAGTATGACCGTACCTTGGCAGTAGTGGCAACGTTAAACAGCCCACACAAGAGTGAGGGCAGGCTGAGTGAAGACAAAGTGAGGCTGAAAATTTGTGACAATCTTGTAGGTGTGTCTGAACACACTGAAGACTGAAGATAGCAACTGGTATTACCATGGAGGAGCTCCTTCTCCAGCAGTACCTGTTGTACCACCAAGGAACTGAGGAATATGGTAACTGGCAGCTTTGTCCTGGTCTCTCCTGGTGTTACCATGAGTGGGCAGCCACCAATGTCTCACCTCAGGCTGCCAACTGTTCCTGCTGTTAAGGCTAACCATGTGCTCAACTTGGTGCAGCAGCTTTGCTTGACGAGCATCATTGAGACCAAGAATCAAAGAACCTGCAATTTCTTTTCATGTATCTGAAGTAATCAGGCTTCCTCACTTGGGTTGCTTTTCCATGCAAAACTGTTTAAACTTACAGGAGCTCTTGAATGCCTGACAAAGGTGCAGTGCAGTTATACAAGCTCAGTTTTCCCCCTGCTACACGAGTTTAACGACAGGAGCCAAAGTCACTGAGACCTCACACACCAAGAGGGGTCCCAGGTTCTAGACCCGCTCAAACCCAGAGGTGCTCAAACCTGCTCCCAGCCCCGGGCAGTCGGCGGCATCTGCGGTGGCCGGGGCCGAGAAGCGGCTCTGGAGCGTGGGGACTCTGCAGTCACGGGTGGGGCAGGCGGGAGAAGGAAAACATCGCGTCTCGGTGCCAAGTTTCGCTTCTGGGAGAAGGGAAAACGAAACCGAGCTGTTCCCCGCCGTCCTGCACGGCGGGGCGGGACGGGCGGGGAGGGGAGGCGGTCACCGCACATTTAAGTGCGGAGCGCCGGACACCTCTCTGCAGCCTGCGAGCCGAGCCGAGCTGAGCCGAGCCGGGTCGGATTGAAGTGAACCGAGACCAGCCAAACCGACCCCAGCCGAATCAAGTCCAGTCGAACCGTGCCCAGGAGGGTCCGAAACAGCAGCGCATCTCGCCGAGTCCGAGCCGAGCCGGGTCGGATTGAGCTGAACCGAGACCAGCCAAACCGACCCCAGCCGAATCAAGTCCAGTCGAACCGTGCCCAGGAGGGTCCGAAACAGCAGCGCATCTCTCCGGGGCCGAGCCGAGCCGAGCCGAGCCATGCAGCTGGTCCTGCTGGCCCGGCTGCTGTCCGTCGGGAGGGCGGTGCTGGCGGCGCTGCGAGGGCGCCTGGGCGCGCTGTGCTGGAGCCTGGCTCCCCTGTCCCTGTCCCTGCCCCTGTCCCTGTCCCTGCCCGGCTGGCGGGACTCGTCTCCCCGGCCGCAGCGGGAGCAGGAAGGGGACGACGCGGCCCCGACGCCCACCAGCGTCAATTACCACTTCACCCGGCAGTGCAACTACAAGTGCGGCTTCTGCTTCCACACGGCCAAGACCTCCTTCGTGCTGCCCCTGGAGGAGGCCAAGCGAGGGCTGGCGATGCTCAAGGAAGGAGGTGAGTCCAGGGGAGGTGGGTCCGGAGGGAACCGGGGAAGGGGGATTCCGCAGGACCAAGTGCCGTGGAAAAAGTTATCCCGGGGATGTCCCTTGTCCCGCTGCCGTGGGGCATTGATAACATTGAACAGGAGCAGGTGACGGGCAGCAGAGGTTGTTCATAGCATCTTTCTTTGGTCCTTCTCTAGGAATGGAGAAAATCAATTTCTCGGGAGGAGAACCATTTCTTCAGGACAGAGGCGAATTTGTAGGCAAACTGGTCCAGTTTTGCAAGCAGGAGTTGGAGCTCCCAAGTGTCAGCATTGTCAGCAATGGCAGCCTGATCAGAAAGCAATGGTTCGAGAAGTACGGTAAGGAGGGAGCACTGGGCACAGCTGCACTGGCAGGACTGGGGAGCCTCCGTGGGGCAGCCTCACCCATGGATGGGCTTGGGGGCAAGTCGGAGATGGTTTCTTAGTGCTTAAGTTTTAATAAATGCAAATCAAATGTAAATGCCAGTGAAACAGTGTTGATTATCTCCTGTAAAGGTAGGCATTATACCACAAAAACTTTTTGGTATAATGATGTAACAAAACAATTATTACACCATTATACCAAATGTTTCCGTATGTTCCACCTGTTTCCATAATGCTGGGGACACATACACACACAAACTATGTGTTTCTATGCTGCTGTTGCTGTGGCTTTTGTGGTTGATGCAATGACTCCACAGAACTGCATTTACGTGGCATTTTGTGACAGATGACAAGGAAGTGAAAGTGACTAGAGTCCTGACAGCTTTTAGCTGAGGGACTGGATATTAATCAATTTTTAAAACTTCTTTTCAGGTGAATATTTAGATATTCTGGCAATTTCATGTGATAGTTTTAATGAGGATGTCAATGTTTTAATTGGCCGTCGTCAAGGAAAGAAGAACCATGTGGAAAATCTCCATAAACTGAGGCAGTGGTGCCGAGAGTATGCAGTTGCTTTTAAAATAAATTCAGTCATCAACAGATTTAATGTTGAGGAAGATATGAATGAGCAGATCAAGGCACTGAACCCAGTGCGCTGGAAGGTAAGAAAGTAGTATATATATACCACATGTTTCCTGTTCAACAAAAGTAATAATGAAGTCCTGGAGTTGTCTGAACCTCTATTGACCTGAGTCGTACCTCCAGCTCCAGCCTGGGCTGGTCTTAGGAGCCTTCTTGTCAATGCTGCATGGTGCTGAGATAGGTTCTATCTCATTCAGCACTTAAATGGAGCCCAGTATGTCAAGAATCTTTTTTTGGTTGTGTCATGTACAGAAAATTACTGTTTTGGTGTGTGTAGATCTAGGTTGTTTTAATATATTAAAATTAGCACAGAAAGCCTTTAACATGTGAAAATATGTTATGGCATAGAGAAAATTAGGAAAAATTACTGAACAATGGCACACTAAAGTCAATATCTTGTTAGCAAGATATAAGTGTGTCACTTGTGTGCTGGGGTCAGGGCAGAAACAGGCGAGAGGCAGGATCATAGAAAAGGCAAAGAAGGCTTTAATCAAAAGAACGGCACGGTTTTTATAGAGTGGTACGATAGATTCTATTCTATTGGCTAACAGAAACATCTTTCTCATGCACTGTCCTTGAGAAGAACAGAAAAATAAAGTAGAAAAACCACCACATGCAAATTGTTTATAGTCAACAAGTTGTCACATCTTTCCAGCTCCCTAAAACTTCTCACAAGCCACTGTGAGAAATGCTTGCCGTTTCTCTTTCTCTGTCCCATAGCATCCGCATAAGTGTATATTAATTTTCTCTTACAGAGTATCAGAGGTGAGTGTACACATATTATTATTTTTTTACTAGAAATAAGTTTGAAAATGGGTAGATATAATGTGGCATAAATATGGGAGAACATGTGGAGTAATTTCTCATTATTTGCCTCATGAATATTGTTATAGACACAGAATTTCTCAGAAAAAAAAACAAGGCCCAAAAACCATTCTAAATGAAATCTCAGACAGTAAGGAAAATCATAATTTATAACATTTAGAGCTATGTAATGTTAATTTACAAAAAGTAAATCTGCACCATGCCCTTTGTGGAGTATTCAGTTATGACAAATTGTGTCATTTTGTCTCCACTGACAGAAAAATTAGACATTGCTACTGAGACTGAAGTCTTCTACCCTCAAGGCAAGTGAAAACATAAAGTCTTACCCAGGTGCTTTCTTTGTCCAGGTATTCCAGTGCCTGATTATCGAAGGGGAGAACAGTGGTGAGGATGCTCTAAGAGAAGCAGAAAAATTTGTTATCAGTGATGAAGACTTTGATCGATTCCTGGATCGCCACAAAGATGTCTCCTGCTTGGTACCTGAATCTAATCAGAAGGTAAAAATGAAATTGTCCCTTTGTAACTTTATTTTTAAATAATGCTAGAATATTTGAAAGGAACAAAAAATTTTTATGGCAATTAATACTTTCCCTGTTAATAGTGGCTTAGAAGAGGTTCAGTACAACTTTATCAGCAACTGCTTTTGTTATAGTGGAAGCCAAGATTTTAAATTTTTCTTAAGGCTTTTCATTGACAACAAAGTTATTAGGAAGAGGAAAAACCCATTGTTCCCAGTCCTGTGGATACTCTTCCTGACTTGGGCACAAGATCCTGAAAATTTCAGAGTTATTGTAAACACCCTTTATAGTCTAAGTCTAGTTTCCTAATAGAGATTGACTGTGATGTCACATTATGCCAGTGCCATCAACCTACGTGACTAAGACAGCATCCCAACCAGCACTGTATTGGGTACTGAGGAACAGTACCCAACTAATCGTACTTTTGGGTAATCCCTCTCACAATAAAGTTGCATTTTTAACATTTTCTGTCTGAACTCCTTTGGTTTGCACACTCGGGCTCTTTAATCAGGAGAAGACTCCTTGTGCTCCTGCAAAGCCTACCAGTTAACTTGATCAGCTGCCATCCAGCTTATAGTAACCACACTAAAGGACTTAGGTGCCTAAGGTGCAGCTCAGGCCATTTTTAAATGGCTACAGACCCTAAAGATGGGATGAGGAGAGTTAGAAGACTCAGTGTTAGGAAAGTTTATGAACTAAGAGAAGAAATAGCAAGTTGAACCAAGTTCAGGAATGCATTAAATCTCCCATCTTGTGTTCCTTTTCCTTTCCACAGATAAGGACTCCATTTACCATTTAATTCTTAATGTATGTAGAGGTTAAGCAAGCACACTGGGTTGTCTTTGCTATGTAAGATCTAAAAGTGGGGCTGTGCAGTTAGCATTTGAGGTATTTGGTGAGAGGGAGCACTCATCAGAGAAAGGGTTAAGATGAGAACCCAGAACTGTTTCTACTTTTTTTTTTTTTTTTTTCATAATAGAAGTCCTACAAAAAAGGCTTCCCATGGTAGGTTTCGTTCCAGAAAACTGTTTCTGATTTCTGGTAAACCTGTGTGAAAGATGAACACCAAATTGATCAGATTTCCTGTTCTATACAGCAGCAAGCCTCAGCTACCCAGAGAATTTTAAGAAGGACTTAGGAGATGCCCACTTAGCTAAGCAAACATGACTTATTTCAGCTGTTGGCATATTTCTTTGTGGAGACCTGGGAGCTTTTTTGCCTTTGAGCCAGCAGAATACCTTTGTTTGGTGGGGTTATAATTAAACAGTCCAGTTAAAATGGTCACGTCATTTGTTTGGAAAATGGCATAATCATTCCAGCATGCAAAACTTTAAGTTCTTCTGGTATAGAAGTTAATAGAAAACTTGGATATTATTTAAAATACCTTTGCTCAGTTGGGTACCCACATTTCACTTAGACACTGGAGAGGTAATATTCCAGGAATTACTAATTTATTTATACATAAAGTTTTTCTAGTAATTCTGTCATTTATTTCTATAAATTTCATCCAAAGTCACTGAAACAGTGGTGATACAGTGACTGTTTCAAAGATTTGTATCAGACCTTGAATGAATAGTTGCTTGTTTTGTCCCTCCTTTTTCAGTGGAATGGAATTTTGATTTGTACATTAACTTAGTATTTTCTTTTGATCTATTACAGATGAGGGATTCATACCTCATTCTGGATGAATACGTAAGTCTTTTTTTGATACATGGTATTTGTATGCTAATATATGTATGTATACAACATTGATAACCAGTTAATTTACTCTGCATTCTATAAAACAATTTTGCCATGTAGTTCAAGGAACAGATGTTATTTATGCCCATCAGACATGTTGTGAACTACAATACAGCATGACCTAAGGAGGCGTTGCCATCAGCCTGAACACATAATCCTTGCATCACAAATCTTAAGGTGTAGATGTCTAGTTTTGCAGGACGTCTTTGCTTTTTTTCTTTAATATAAAAATGCAGAACTTGCCTTGAAAGTTAAGTTTCAGAGTGCCAACTTAGCTTACATGTAACTGAAGTTACAGCTTTAATCTTCAAGAATTATGATATTGCTTTGTTCCTGCTAAGATTTGTCTCGTGTCTAACCATGAGTTTCTGAGCCTTCTGAGGACTAGAGTGAACCTCTTCATGCACTTACATAGGCTTTGGTGGAATTGCAGTGCAACTTGCTTAAGTCTGTAGAAAAATGAAGCTTTTACAAATTGACTTTCTAACATCTTAACATCTTACCTATCTTACATTCCAGATGCGTTTTCTAAACTGTAGAAATGGGCGGAAAGAACCTTCCAAGTCCATCCTGGATGTTGGTGTAGAAGCAGCTATAAAATTCAGCGGATTTGATGAGAAGATGTTCCTAAAAAGAGGAGGAAAGTATGTGTGGAGTAAAGCAGATATGAAACTGGACTGGTGACTCAGTATACTGAGTTAGGGCAGTGCATTCTGTGAAAACAGGTGTATCTTATAGGTGAGTGTATACTTGCATACAATGCTTTTAATTACACCTGGTATTTTACACAGACTGATGTTCAGTATAACTGTACATGTGAATATGTTACATGCTTTTAAAATGCAGATTACATTGTCTATACTTTCTTGAGCATGACCAAATACTTTCAGAGCTTTTTAGATACATGAACAGATCTCTGAAATAAACTTTGTAGTCCATTGCACCAAGGACTAAAAGGCAAACTGTTTCTATAAAATACTCCATGAGTGTTCATGCCAGATAAGAAGCAAGAAACCATCCCAAACTCTAACTCATTCTAAATAGCTGTAATGACGGAGAAGTGAAAATTCTTATCAGGGAACACATTCTGCCTGTTTCTCAGGGCAACATGGATTGCAGTTCCTGGGTAGATCGCTGGAGGGCCAGCTGGCAGGCCCCTGGAAGCAACTTCTGCTTTTTTCGGCAGTAATAGAGGGTCAGAATCCGGGAATCATTAAGTAATAACGTATTTAAAAGAAAATTAAGGAGAAAAAATTGGCAGTTTTTATTCTTTAAGACTTAATTGTAACAGAATCTTCTCCCTCTCCTCTCTATAAACACATGATATTTGCAAAAATGTTGAGGCATGTAATTTTCTGTGAAAACATATTTTTAGTCATGAAAAAATATTATATTCATTCATCCTAAAACCTAGAGGTACATTTTATCTAATGATAAACAACATCATATTTCACATTGGAAATGTCCTTCAAATATTTGTTCTAACAAATATTTACAAGGAAACATTGTTTTTATTTTATTAGTATCTCAATTTTCCTTTCATCTGCAAATATTGATTTATTACTTTAAACTATTTTTGAACTGTGGGCATATAGTTCTGATGAATATTCTTTCTTAAACTAATTAATACCATGTAGAACAACCTAACATATATCTTCTGTTGAATACTAGCTTTTTATTTTGCTAAGCTATGGAACTACACACAACAAAGTTCATAAATCAAACAACCCTGTTTTAAAGGTTGCTTATCTCAGCAACTAATTAGCTTGCTGGTTATAAACCTGCAGATTTTAAATGAAACTAAATTTGGTTTTGTGAGAGCTACCTTTGATTTTAAAAGCAGGTAGCATCAATATAAAATACAAAAACTAAAAGAAAAATCCTCAAAACATGAAAAATAATCTAATATACTGCCCTCACTCTTGGTTTTCTGGCAATGGTTATGTCTTTATAATGGCAGGTTTTCAAATTTAACTAGTCCCATCCTCCCTCTGTCTGAAGGGTACAGGGATAGGCACTGCACAGAGCAGAAGTGAGATGGCACTACTCATTAATCCTGTCCCTGAACTCAATGCCTGGACTGTCTCACACATTTAAATATTTGCAGAAGCTGGAAGCCAGCATGCATTAAATATACCAGATAGAGAAAATGACACCTTATTCAATTTTTTTTTGGAAATGATAGTTGATTTTTTTAAAGAAGTTTTTTGCATTTTTGCATGAAAGAAATGTTTTGCATTCACCTAATGCACCTTTAAAGTTGAAGGGGGAAAATGCTAAAGTAGGAGCTGGTACTTCTGTGTAAAGGAAAGTACTCTGAATACTCAGTGAAAACGTTTCCATTTATAATTCCTTCAGTTTCTATTTTTACGATCCTAACTGTAACTATACTCAGTGGTGCTCTTTTGTCTCTTTGTATTTTGCATTTTGCAGTCACAACATTTCCTAGACACAGACATTTCAGTATTTTTTTTTTCTTGTATTAACACTAAGTGACATTTAAAATGTGGCCCACACACAGTAACCCCACAGTCTTTTGGCAGCTATTTCACTGACCTTGGCTGGAGATCTCCCTGGCTCTATGAGCAGTGCAAATTTATGTAACTGGGGTTTGACTTCCCCTGCCCAAATATTAAATCTAGTCTCTTCCTCAGTACCTACACCACACTGATAGAAAAGAAGCATTTTTCTTTGTTGCTGTCTCAGTCCCAGGATGGGGAAAGATTTAGTGCATCAATGTACCAAAAAATCTACCACCCTGCAGCTTCTGCAAAAAATGCCAGCTGTAGCACAGCACACAGATATGAGGTACACAAACTCCTGTTCAGGTCCAGAAATCCTGCCATTCTTTGCTTTGCATTTTATCCTGTAAATGGCTATCCTTTTGCTTCCTCTGTGCCTACAGAGGAAACTGCAGGAGAAACAAGAAGGAGATGAAAATGTCAAAATCCAGTAAAGAATGTACAGACATTTAAGATGACTTTTGCTAGAAGGTTCTATGTGCTTAAAATGTTGGGGATTTCACCTGCATAATTAGTAAAAGGTTTCTGTTCTGTGTGATACTCCTTTTCAAAGGAAATATGAATTGTGTACATTGGAAATTAAGAATCTCACAATACAGTTTGAGAGTAATTTCAGTTAATGAACAGCTATTGGCATTTTTATTTGCAAAATCTATTGTTGTGTAAAACAAAAAAAAAAAAATTGCTACAGTTGATGAGTCTAGTTTATGTTAATAAAATTATAAACACAGTTCATATTGGACCAAAAGTGGATTTTGGCCTTTCATGATGTAGTAGGGGCTACCTTTCAGTATGGGACTAGAAAAATAAAACAGAATTCAACATGGTTACTCTCAGGCTTAGTGATTACAGCTATGTTGTGATCCTGAAAAGTCAGGATTAAATTTAAGTCTTTTAAGCACAGATATGCTTAATTGTAGCTTTGTGTATAATATCATAGTATTGCAGCTAAGCACTTGTTAAAGATGCTGAATTGGGAAAGAACTGGCACTGCATTCCACTAACATTATACAATTGTTTCTATTTGTAAAACAAATGTAGAGAATGACTGTTTGGAAGGATGACTTCTGATAAAATTGTGACTATACCTTGGGTAACAAGTAAAATTGTCACTTAAGATGCACTTTAGGATCCCCTATTTTTCAGTATGAAGGATGCTGATATATTTGAATGTTACCAATTATCAATTTTGGACTAATAGTGTCAAATAATTAGTGCTAAGTATTTCATGAGTGTGTTGCACCTTTCAATAAATGTTTCTATTTTCTTAAGTTTGTCTCTAATTTTATTTTTTTTTCTGTAATACAAGCCATAGTAGCAGAACGTGTGGCTGCATTCGCAAGAGATCTGTAATTCTGGGTGCATTTGGTCTGTATTTAGCGGGGGGGCTGCTTGCACGGTGCCAAGGGCAGCATGGAGGCCGAAATGGAGAACAATGGTGGTGATTCTCCTCGTGATGAAAGGCACTTGTTACAAGGCTGAGTGGACTGGTCTGTGCTGGGAGAAGACAGTTCAAATACCTTGTGCTGTTCAGATGTGCGAAAGGCACAGCTATCCATAAATATCCGAGGACAAAAATAAGATTATCTTCTGTTATGGTAAATAAGAGAGAAAAGCCAGTCTATTTAGAAGACTGAAGACAAGCAGCTTCTCAAGCTCACCCTCCATCTTCAGACTCGGTGTAAACTCTTCTACTAGAGAACCTCAAATTGAGCTTTTCACAGTATTTGGCTGTGTGTGAGAGGATGCTTGGCTTTTTACCCCGCTTTGCCATTGCCCCGCGCACTGCGGCGCCGTGAGGGGCCCAGCAGCCGTGCCGCAGTGAGCTGCGGTGTGCCCCGGGCCCGGGGCTGCCGTGCTGGGCTGTGCCCCATGACTCCGCCACACAGCTCCCGTGCGGCTCCTGCCGTGCCTCCTGCCTGCCGCAGGAGCACCGGGCCTTGCTCCGCACACACACCGACAGCAGGGAGGCTCGGACAGCTCCCGCAGAACAGCCGTGCCCGTCATGGTTCCCGTGTTTTCCTCTCCTTCCTTCCCCGGCAGGCAGGACAAACCCCCCGCCTCCTCGGCACAGCCAGCCCCGTTGTTCTCTCTGCCGCTGACGGACCTGCTGGGCCCGGCCCATCACGCTCAGACAACCCCAAGTGCTATTGCTTCAAGCAGATGAAAAGCCTCTCGGTGCAAGCGGCGGCTCGGCTCGGCACGCCCGGGCCGGCGGCGCTGCCAAGCGGGAAATCCCGGGATCCCCGCGCCCGGGAGGCGCCTCCCGCCGCCGCCAGGGGGCGCCGCTGTGCCTGGCGCGGCGCGGCCGCTTCAAAGTGGGCGGTGGCGCGAGCGCGGCCGTTAATGGCGCCCGCCCGCCGCGGGCGCGCCCGCCCCCGCCCGCCCTCACCCCACCCTCCTCCTCCCCCGCCGGAGAAAAGACCGGGAGCGGTGCCCGCCGCGCACACTCCGGCTCCGCGGGGGGTGGAGACCATGGTTGGGGCGGCGGCGTCGTCCTGCCGCGGCTCCGCGGGATAGCGCGGGACAGCGCCGCGCACCGCCCGCGGGCCGCCCCGCGCCGGCAGGGGCTGCAGCGGCTGCAGCGGCACGGTAAGGCGCCCGGGGCGGCGGGAGCGGGGGCGCCTCCCGGGGCGCTGGGGCAGCGGGAGGCGGCGCCGGAGCGCACGGGCACCCTCGACCCCTCTACGTGAAGGGCTGTGGCGGCGTTGCCGGCGGCGGCCGTATCCCTGCCGCTGCCGCCCGCCGGGAGCCCCCGGCAGCAGGGCGCTGTGCCCGGAGCGGTGCCGGCTGCGGGGCGGGCACGGCGGGGCCAGGCTGCCGGCGGGAAGCGCGGCCGCCGGCGGAGCGCCGCGTCGGGGGCGTAATGACAGCGGCAGCTCAGCCCCGCGTGTGCTCTGTCGTGGGGTTTCCATAAACGAACGAAAATGTCTGGAAAGAGCCCAGCCAGTGCCCTGGAGTGCGGTAGCCATTCGTCGGGAGGGGAAAATAATGAGCGCAGGGGTCTGTGGAGTGCCACCCCCATCCGTGCTCTCAGTACAAGCGGAGTGTGCAGCCTGGGGAGAACCCGGATCGTTTGGGTTGCAGGGTTGAAGAAGCGGGAGTAAGGCTCGGGCTTTCCTTCCCGGAGCTGAAGGGATGTTACCGTAGCCTTTTTTTGAGCTGTTGGAAGAGCCCCTAGGTACAATAACGAGGTGTCTTCCCACCCGCCGGATCAAGGATATCTTGTTCCTAAACAGATCAGGTCCTGCATCTTGTGTTTATTGCTTGTGTAGTACTGGAACAGGGAGTGTCAGCAGGGCAGGCTGATGGAAGAAGATACCAGCTCTTTGAATTTTTACTGTGTTCTTGGAAATACTGTCACTTCTGCCCTGGAACATAATATTCCTGTTCTATAACAAGCATAAATGATGATTTATAAATAGATCCATTTGTTTATATTGTCCCCTGTGTAGCCGAACAACTGTTTACATTGGGAAACGGATTGCTTCATTTCACATCAGCTTATCAGTGCTGGCCCAGGAGTGGCTAAGCTGAAGTTACATGTTCTTGGGCAGAGTGCTACTGGAGAGATTACATCAGTAGTGTAAACTTCTGGTGGCTGGCCTGTCTGCTTGTGTGTGCTTCTCTCACAGGCTTCAGAGGCTACTGAGGGATGAGTGGGGGGGTAAAAGAGTGTGTAGGGTTGTAGTACAGTGAGGGGGGGATTTGTGCACTTTAATGAAAATGGTTAGTTTATACTTTAATGGGACTTTTACAGTGTGGGAAAACTTAGAACATTTTTTCCTGGCAACGAGGTATCAAGGTGTCCCAACTTGAAGCTTGTTAAATACCCAAGAGAAGCAAGATCAAGTGAGAAGAGTAGTGGCAGGAGGGAAAAACAGTTCCTTTTGTCTAGGGGTGTCTTGAAAAAGACAGGCTTTTCCCCATGGCTATCTTCATCCCCTGGGATGAAGTTTCATTTTTTTACTCCCCCCCTTTCCCTGACCATCATGTCTCATTATCCTCTTGTGCAATCTGTGTATTACAAGGGGGAAAACCATTTGTGATTGAAATAATACTAGGTGTTTCAATTTGATATAGCTACTTTGAATAAGCCATCCTTTATATAAAACAGAGGGTTGATTTCCCCTCATATCTAAATCACTATGATTCATATCCTAGGAGCTGCTAGATCAAATCATGTGTTTGTTGTCTGTTGTTATTGTAGATTTTTGCCCTTGAAGTACTGTTTTGAAAGTTACACTTTTACACTATTAGCAGTAACACTTACAATCTGGGGTTTTTTTTACCTGTTTCAGTATTTTCAGGCAATAATTTGTAGGGAAAAAAAGACTATATAGTTGCTTAAGTCCTTTGATTTTAAGTGTGGGTTTGTTTGTTTTTTTTTTTTTTTCAACCAATACTATATTCCAAGTATTTGTCAGATTTCATGTGGGGTTTTTTTATAACTTCTGACAACTTTTCTTTCAGCTAAGCCAAGGGACAAAGCTGCTGTCTTAAACATGAGTTTTGGCTGCAGTGTCATACAGTGGGTATGAATGGCTTCAGTGTATCTGCTGTATTTACAAGAATGCTCTCATAGGCTGGCAGAAAACTCGTATTTGCCCTCCCAGTGCTGATTCAGGGAAAAATAACGGCTCTGATCATCCTGCAGTCTGGTCAGCGAGCGCAGACCTTTTCTCTCTCTCTCAGAGACCTGATGTAGCAGGGGAACTGGAACCTGTTATACTTACCACCATATTTCCTGTGGGTTAGTATCAATAGTTATGCAATTGATTTAGTAGCCTGTGGATTGATTAGAAGACTTGCTTTTCATTGTGCTCCTTTTTACATCTTGTGTTACAAAAAGGAAATGGAAAACAATTACAAACTAACCCACCACTCGTTTTGAGTGGTGTAGTGATTCTGCTGTGTCTAACTTAGGCTGTGGTCAGCTGTTCTTTTTATAAGGCATAATCCTTTTCTGTATTGCTTTGTGGAAACAAGCTCATAAAATTCATTTTGAAGGAGATCAGACAAAAAGATCATAATGATAATGTCTGTTTTTCACTTCTGATGGCTGGGAGGAAGAAGCTGTTGAAAATAGACTTGCTCTTCTGGCTGCTTGCTGCAAAGTGTTATGTTTTTTGTGTTTCCTAATCAACTGGGATCAGAAATGCTTACAGTTTTTCTGCATATGCAGTCAGCAAATTCTGGAGCTGGCAAAAATAGTATAAAATGGATTTTCAAATAGGTTGGTTGGTTGTTGATAGTGCTGCTTATAGTGGTAGTACCATTAAGTGTCTTTTCTAAAAGGTTGGAGAAAAAGAGGAACAGAGAAAGTGAATCAGTATGTCTGGTAACTTTTTATTTACTGTGAAGACAGACTATCTTATCAGATTGTTCTAGTCTTGGCATGACTGTTACTTCCTTATTACAGCAAGATTCTCACCTTTTCTTTCATAGAATATCAAGTCAGTGGTAGCATGTTGCATTGAAACACCTTGCTGTTATCCTCCAGGTATCACTATGACAGTTTAATACAGCTTCATCCTGTTTATATTGAATGGAAATGACTTGTGATTGAAAAAAATGCACTAAAGCTTATTGAATAGAAACTTTTTCTTCTTCATGATGTCCAATGGATCATCTGAAATACTTCATAATGTGGGCAGGTCTTGCAGGTTGTCTGGAAAATAAAGTTCTAACTTACCAGGTTCAGGTGTAATTTTTTCATTACTTACAAATGTTCAGCTTTATTTGCACTGATCACTGCTTTGCTTGTGAGCAGGCAGATTCCATAGTTTTGGAGTCTTTATTCTTGAATTTCACTTGGAAATTTTACTGACTGTTCTATTTCTGGAGTATTTGGGTTATTTCCTGTAACCATAAAACTCCAGTATGAACTACAGGCTATGAAAGCTACCACTGTGGTTCTTGAGACAGTTTCAGCTGACCAGCCTTTGTCTCAACTTTACTCTCTACTAAATAGATCATATAGAGCATAACAATTGTATACTGTTCTATATATCCAGTCCTTGCAGACAACTCTTATATTTAGCTAGGAAAACTAAATACAAGGAATATGAAAATGAATTAGGAAAATATATTGAGGCAAAAATCTGTTATTAGCCCTTGATAATCAGGCATGTGATCAGCTTCTTCCTATGCTTATTATTTCTGCTGCTGTTCAGCGGTTGATTTGCTTCGTGTTTGATCACTGATGAGGATCTATGTGTGAGTTTTATAATCTCACAGCTATTAATTTCCTTCTATATATACTTTTTTG